TCAGTTCCCCAATTCCAGGACAGTTATGGGAACTCTGGGCCTTCCTGTCATTAGAATTCCGTTTCTCTCTTCCAGTCCCTGCCGATTTCTGGGCACTCTAGAAATTGGGTATTCATGCAAGAAGTCAGGATTTTTTTCTCTTTTGTGACCTTGAGATATGAAGTTAAACTTTCACTATTCTAGAGAAGCCACTTGCATTCCTCTGATTCCAGGAAAGCTGTGAGGACTCTGGACCTTTCTGTCTGTAGATCCCTTATTGTGCTTCTAGTAGAGTCCTTGCCAGATTCCATGGGCATTCTACCTATGAGAGAATGACACTATGGATAGAGTCTGAAAGTCAAATTCTCACTTCTCCTGTGTTATTGGCTCAGCTAAGCCTGCTGCCCAGAAGGAAGATCTAACTCAACACCTGGCTCTTGTTTACCACCTCTGCTTCATATTTGACACTTAATTAATGTCTCCATCCCTCTCCCCTTCCCTGCCCTCACCCCCTGTTCTCCATGTGGGGCAGCAGCTGGCTCAGCAGCAGGGCTGGGGCCTTCACATTGACATTCAAGATCTGAAATAAGAGCAAATGAGGGTGGGGGAGGAGAGACATTCAGTCCAGTGCATGTTCTCACTGCATTAGCAAATACACCACATTAGAACATGGGCGTGATGGCTTCTGACAATGGGAAGTGGGGAGAGTGCTGGCTTTCTTTGACATACATGGTGGGCGGGGGGAGGCATCCTAAAAAGCTGGAATATGGGGATCAGGAAGCCTTTGCAGGCATAAGACCCAGAGTCTGCAGGATGTCTCCTTGTGTCTGTAAGGGTATTGGTTAGACAAAAATGTCCCATCTGGGTCTGAGAAGGCACTGGCCAATTGAGTCTGGGGAAGGCTGGTATAAGCTGAATTGTGTACCACCCAAACTCTATGTTAAAGTCATAACCCCTAGTACCTCATAATATAACCTTATTTGGAACTAGAATCATTGCAGATGTAGTTAATATAAGGTCATAGAATGGGCCCTAATTCAAAATGAATGGTGTCCTAAGAAGGCAAGTTTGCATGCACGTGCATGCACACACAAATACACACTGAGAATACCATGTGAAGATGAAGGCAGAGGTTGGAGTGATGCTTTTTTCTATAAGCCAAATAACATCAAAGATTGCCAGCAAACCACCAGTAGCTAGGGAAGTGACATGAATAGATTCTCTCATAGTCATCAGAAGGAACAAACCCTGCTGATGCCTTCTGACCTCCAAGACTGTGAGATAATAAATTCTGTGTGTAAGCCACCTGAGCTGTGGTACTTTGTTACAGCAGCCCTCTGAAACTAATACAGCTGGATTTCAGGGTTTAAGCCTTGGACATGAAGCATTCTTAGGCAACGCAGGGAGTCATCCCCTTCTCTGTGCCCCACATTTATTGTGATGATCTGGTTCTCTGTTGGGCCCTCCCAGCAAACTGGGAGCTCATGGACAGTGCGGATCAGAACTAGAGTGTAGCAAGCATGTCAAACTCGTGGTGGCCATGATTTTGACATGCTTGGTGTAGACACTCCTACCTCCATCTCACAGATGGGGAATTAAGGGTCAGAGTCCAGGCACCTGGCCTGCTCGGTGCCAGTGAGTCTGTGAGGGGAAGGTGTGTGGGAGCTGAGATGGAAAGAGGGTCGTGCAGAGGGTGAGGATGACATCCGTCAGCCCTACTTGGTGTCCCCAGACCTCACCTTGTCCCAGACCTCCTCACTGCTCCCCAAGGTACTTCCCACGTAGGGATTGACTCCTGCCACACACACCAGGAAGTCAACATTCCCAGAATGTCTCAGGGCCTGCAGGGAGAAGGGGGCAATGAGGATTAGGGTCAGGAATCAAAAGAAGTTTTCTGTTGCAATGGGAAGTATTTCCTGTTTGCTCTCCCTGGGTCTCTGCTTGGCTAAATCCAGGAGGGGACCACACCAAGTGAGGGTGGAGAGCTGTCTCTCCTCATCAGACTTAAAACAGCTCTCCACCCAGATCTGTAAACTTGTTCAGGCTCTGGAGTAACCAATGCCGAGCACATGGTCAGCCTTCATTCCTGCGCTTGTTCGCTTGTTCATTTGCTCAGGTTATGTTTTTAAAATAACCTCTCTTCCTCTTTCTACCTCCAAACCCTACCCATCTCCTCACCGTGGCCACCAGCTGGTCTCGGTCCTCAGCCTTCCCCACATGGCACATGGTGCCAGACATGCTCAGCCCCTCCCCCTGCAGCACTGCCAGTGCCTGGTCCACGTTCTGCTGCTTCCGGCTGCTGACCACCACGTGGGCTCCGTCCTGGGCCAGATGCCGGGAAATGGCGAAGCCAATCCTGAGGGCAGAGATGGCTATGACGGCTTCATCCCTCCCCACCCTCCTCCTGGGAGGCTGATCATGAGACAAATTGAGTTCCACAGTGTGGTTCAAGAACTGCCTCCAAATCTTTCGAGTGGAAAAGAGGAACTATTGAACATTTTCTATAAATCAGGCCTTCACCAAGACTAACTCAGTTAATTCTCACAACTATATGTATAATAATCATATGAATGAGAAAATTTTCATAACAATTTAATTGAAGGGAATTTTTAAAAAGTAATGATCCTTCAGAACACGTGTACATATGCGGGGCATCCAGGGTGAATGGTAGAGAATCTTTAACTGCCCGGTGTTTTCTCCCTTGGTTCTAGCCAGATGCCTCTGGTGTAAATTGAACTTTCTATAAGTCTTAAAGCTTTCCTCTGTCCTGCAATTTAAAATCTTCGATGCTGAGAATGTGTTCTGCCTCCATTCTCCATCTTCTTACCTTAAGAAGGTCTGAAGCACTCTTGACTTGGGCTGGTTGAGTACCTGTGATCAAGGGCAGAAGGCATACGACCCTTCTCTTATAGAACCAGCAACATAGAGTTTTCAATTACTCATTTGTGATGAGGGCTGGGCATTGGGGATTTAAAACATCATTGGGGCCCAGCCAGTTTTGCTCAGTAGTGAGCATTGACCTATGTACCAGGAGGCTATGGTTCGAGTCCTGGTCAGGACACATTTCTGGGTTGCTGGCTGGAACCCCATTAGGGGGTGTGCAGGAAGCAGCCAATCAATGATTCTCATCATTGATATTTTTATCTTTCTTTCCTTCTCTCTTCCTCTCTCTGAAATCAATAAAAACATATTAAAAGAATAAAACATCATGATGATGTGGAAGTCTAGGATATTAACAGTATTAAAATAAAGCGATCTAAATTTGACCATGAAAGGTCAAAAGGAAGACAGAACCCCTGAACACCAGAATTCCCCCCTCCTGCCTGTGGTAATGACTCATTAAAGACTATGGCCCATTATGGCAGCTAGAGGATAAGTGGAATTGGAGGTACATAGGAAGAGATGTGACCAGGAGAGGGTCATCTATGTAAGCTCTCTGAGCTGATCTTGAGACTTTGCCTTGTCCAGTGCCCTACTGCCAGTGAACACTCTGCAGTCAATGGAATCCCTAAGTCTGAGAGACCAATAGGTCTCTGGCTTCTCCCTATTAGACCAGGTCCTTAAAAGTTCATGGCCACATGCCCATGAAGGATGGGGAGAGAGAGAGCTGTCCTGATGATGATAAGTTAAATACCTTAGGGTTACCCAGCCAGTAAGTGGCAGAGACTAGATTCAAACACTGCTCTGATTGAACCAGAAGCAGTTGATTTTCCAAATCTTATCATTCTTGGAACTTAGAAATG